CCTAACTTCCCTTGCGCCTGAGCTCAAACCCTGGGCCTAACCTGCTCCATCAGGGGAGTCCCTGGTGGCGTAGGTCCACAGTTTCCATCCTCTTTACTTGTAACGTCACCTCAGCCCTTTTCTGTGGGGCCCCTTGGTTTTCCCCATGCTCGTTTAAGATAGCTGGGGAAGACATCAAGGGAATGTCTTCAATAAGCCATGAGCTTGTTATGGAGCATTTAGATTGCTTCTAATTTTTGCTCTTTCAGCTAATGCTACATTAAGCCATCTCTGTGTATTGCAGAATCATTTCATTAAGTTGGCATTTGTCTAGCTAATGGCAGTGGCCCAAGATTCGATAGAGAATCAGAATGACTTTTTTCGAGAAGAATGTCGTGAGATATATTAAAAATTTCCTTCAAGTGCTAGGAACCCTCTTTGTTGGATTTCTCATGAAGGAAGAAGCAGGGTGGCGGTGATGTGAAATTAGACGTCAGTGAAAGGCTGCGTGTATGCAGGTAATTCGTGACTCGCGTGTCCCTAAGTGTGGAGGAGAGCCCATCCGTCCTCTGCCCAGCCATCTACCTGCAAAAACAGAGGAATTCTGTATCCCTACGTGTGATGCTTTGGTTAAAAAAATAACAAAATAAAATAAAACAGTGATCTCTTCTTGAGGATATTTTTAGAAATGCCCTAAAACAAACACACAAAAAAGTAAGGATTTCTGAGAAAAAACATGTCTCCTTAAGTGAGAGTGAGCAGGTAGGGAAGTGCTATTAGCAGTGGAAGCAGTTTGCAAACTTGCTCAGAGGATTTGGCTTTATTTTTTTTTGGCCATTAGGAAATGACAAACAGACACCCCCTTGGTCCCCAGTACTGTTTTGAACCTGAGATCTTGTTGGCTTTGGAGTAATGGGGAAGGCTTCCTCTGCCTTGCCACTTTGTTGTTTGTAGCGTTTCAGTCTTTGGTGCTTTGTTAGGTAGACCCAGGCTCTAGGCTTTGTGTTTCAGTTTAATCCAGCAAATGTTTACTGAGTCTTTACACTGTACTAAGTTGTAGGGAATAAAAATTTGGGGAGAAAGAACCTAATGTACCCTTGTTTTGAGGAGCTTATAAGCTGGGAGGGGGAAGGATAAAACAAGTTTAAAACTGGTCATTGATTGTTAAAGGGAGATTAAGAAGAGGGCCCTGGGAGAAGTCAGCCCTCCTTTGTTAGAGAAGGGGGGATTCTGTCTCATTGGGGGGCAGGTGCTAGGGCAGGGAAATTGAGAATGGTTTCATGGAGGTGGTTGCTTTTGTCACCTTGGAGGACAGGCTGAAATAGAGGCTGGACGTTCCTAGCTAAGGGAAAAGCCCTGAGTAGAAGAGGTGGAGGTGGAAGGACTTAGGGCTGTTTGGGGTTTGGCTGAAGCATTGGCGTGTGTAATAACGGTTACAGTGTGGAATGGCACTTCATGGAGTGTATCAGGTGCTAGGCATGGTGCTAAGAGCTTTACATGTATTGACTCATTTAATGCACACATGACCCACACATGGTAGACAGGTACCATGACTATCTCCATCGTGCAGATGAGGAAGCTGAGACATACAGCAATTAATTAACTCTGCAGATCACACTGCAGTGCACCCAAGATTAGACTGAGTCCATCTGGCACAGACCGTGCTTCTGACCATGAAGCTGTCCTGCCTCTGATGTGGGGGAAGAACAGGCACCAGACCCAGAAGGGCAGGCAGATGCCATTTGTTTAGGGGCTTTGATGACCACACTCAGGGACACAGAGGTGGAGGAGGGGCCAGGATGGAGGTGGGAGGGATGGCAGAGGTGGGGGTGGGGGGATTATAGGAAGAGGGTTTCAAGGAGGGATGTGTCCGCAAGGCCTAGAGCTGCAGAGAGCTCCAGGAGGTGAGACCTGGGAGCAGGTCTGGGCCAAAGCCAGGCAGCAGCGAGGCTGTCGCAGGGCCTCTCCTGACTGCGTGTGCCACTGGGTATCGCTGTCCCTGCCCTCTTCTCTGCAGAAAGAAGTGAGTGTGACAGAGGGGGCAGGTGAGAGCTGACACTGCTTCGTTGGCAGACCTGGTGGCTTTTCTGCAGCCTAACGATTTTTGAAAGCTGCTTGCTATGCTGAGGCACAAGTGTGACTTCCCCCATCTCAATGCTCTGCAACCGCTACTTTCCCTGGAAAATTGGGCCCATGTGGGCTCTGTGTGCAGTTTATTTGAGTTCCATTTTTATAGCCTTATTACCTTGTCCCCACGATGTAAGAGGCCTCTCTCTTTTCTCAAGCTTTGCTGTGAAAATTGTTTCTTAAAAGGCACAAAGTGATCTCTCATCGTTTGGGTGGTGCTCGCTCCCCAGCAGCACTTTTCTGCAGACTCTGCACACACTTGTCTTCACCCCTACCCCCACTTGTCATGTTTCTCCCATCGTCGGCAATTTACTGAGAACTTTTAGGCAGCTCTTGGATCTCACTACTTAGGTGTTCGCCACGGTTTCTTCAGGAAGAATTTGTGCATGCAAATACCCATCCAGCCGCTTCCTTTCCGAAATGTCGCCCTACCAGTGACCATGCCAAGGGCTGAAACCCAGTCTTGTCCCCTGGCCTTGAATTGGTGACTGCAGCAGTTAGCCTTTGTGGAGCCTCAGCTGTTACCAGCCTCTGAGCTAAGAGAGTTCTGGTCCTGATCTTAATTATTCGCAGTCCCTATGAGGGAGGTGCTGTTACTCCCCCATTTTAAAGATAAAGGAAATGAGTCTTAAAAGGGCAGAGTCACTTGCCCCAGGTCACACAGCTAGTAAATGGCAGAGCTGGGCCTCCACCACGCCTTCCTAGCCTTGGAGTCCATTCATTCATTCATTCATTCATTCATTTAGCAACAAGTGATTATAACATGCTGGGGACTGTTCTGGTCCCAGGGTATACAGCAAAGGAAAACAAGGCAGGAAAAAAAAAAAAAAACAACCTTCAGCTTTCATTCTAATTTGGGGAGACAGAGAAAAAATAATAATAAATTAAATATATATTACGCTGTGTGGTAGTGAGGACTGTGGAGGAAACTAAAGCAGGTCAGCTAAGCAGCGCCCGGAGGATTTTAAATAGAGTGGTCAAAGGAGGCCTCTTTGGGAAGAAGACCAAATTGGTAGGTTAAGTAACAAACCCCCACATCTCACTGTAGCAACACGATACAACTACATTTCTTGTGCAGAAAAACTCCCCTGTGGCTGACCTGGTTAGCAGGCGTCCTTCCCTGTGGTCATCGAGGGACCAGGCTGGCCTCTCTGTGTCCCTGCCCCCTTCAGGGCCCTTGCTTCCGCTTCATGCAGCTGGACATGGGGGTTTCGTGAGGAAGATTTGTGGACCAGTCTGGAAGAGGCGGACATCCCTCCCACCTGTTGGTCAAATAACGGGAGGTCACGTGACCTCCAGTCACGTGTCCAACCCTAACTGCCAGTGAAGTCAGCCCTGTGCCCACCAGGAAAAGCAAGGGAGTCCCGGGGACTCACAGCATAATGTGCACGGGGGCGACTTGCGGCCAAGTGAGCTGTGTTTAGCCGGGGGAAGGACCCACCAGGAAAAGCAAGGGGGTCCCGGGGACTCACAGCATAATGTGCACGGGGGCAACTGCGTCCAAGTGAGCTGTGTTTAGCCGGGGGAGGGACATTTGTGGCGAAGGGACTAGCAAGGCAAAGGCTGCCAGCGTGGCTAGGGTGGTGTGGCTGGAGAGGAGCAGAGGGAGAGAAGGTGAGGGCAGGGTGGCACGGGGGCCGGGCCACAGGGGTCACTGCAAGCGCTCAGTTGCCTGGTGAATCACCAGCAGAGCCAGGAATATTTCAGGGTTCCTGAAAGGAATGACAGGATCTGAGTTCTGTCTTAGGGAGCGGACTGAGGGGGCAGGGAGGACAGGGAGAGAGTGGCTGTTGCCGTCATCCGGGAGAGTGGCGGGAGGTTTTGCTGTGAGCTCGGTAGTGGGGTGTGAGTGAAAGAGAGGAGTCCAGATCATTCTGAGGTTCTGGCTTTTGCTTAATGTGAATTTGTCTCACTTTCTGCTCTAAGAGATGAGAAGAGGGGAAGCTTTTGGAGAAAGCTGTCTGAACGTCCTCGGGGCCCTGTCCCGTACCCCACAGCCTCTTCTAGCCCACAGTTCCTGCCTTGGCACAGACAGGCAGTTTTCATTCATGACTAAGCCTTCAGCCGGGGGGAGGGCACGTGCGCTCCTCCTGGCACGCGGCGTGGGTGAGGCAGCGCCCGTGATGGTCTCCTGCCGCCCTCTGGGACCTTTGGGCCAAGCCTTGGGACCCTTTGGAGCAATGTGGGGAGGACCCAGTGTGCCCCCTGGGAAGCTGAGATGCCCTCGGGGGGGCATTTCCCATCCCTGCTGCCCGCAGGCACTGGGGAGGCCCCGGCTGGAGGGTGACCACGCACATGTGTAGAGAGTAGGCGTGGAAACCGGTGCCCTGGCACTTCGCTGACACTCATGACCTGCCAAGGCAGAAATGAGATGGGACTTTTTAATAGACCATGATCTCACTGGAAGCATAAGGGGGAAGATAGTCCATCTTAAAGAGGGGAGCACGTGAGCTGTGACAGCAAGTATTGCACACCTACCAGGGGATGGGCCCTGGCTGGGTATTTGGATTTCACTGGAAAGCAAAACAAATATTATATTTAATATCTTGGCTCTGCCCTCAATGCACAGGTGGACTCAGGTGGCCAAACCATTAGTTGGGAGAAATTATAGTTATACCTGTGTATTTCTTTTTTTGTCTTAGTGGTTGTGAAATGGTATTGTATTTTTAATTTTGGTGTCCACGTGTTCATTGCTAGTATATAGAAATACAATTGATTTTTATATTTTTATCTTACATCTTCTATGTTTGCTACACTTGCTAATTAGTCCTAGGATTTTTTTTTGTTTGTTTATTCCTCAGTATTTCTACAATTGATTTTTATATTTTTATCTTGTATCTTGCATGTTTGCTACACTCACTAATTAGTCCTAGGAATTTTTTTGTTTATTCCTCAGTATTTTCTACATAGGCAGCATATCATCTGCAAGTAGGGATTGCTTTATTCTTTTTTTCCAATCTGTATGTTTTGTATTTCCGTTTGTTGCCTTACTGTGCTAGCTAGAACTTCTAGTCCTGTGTTGATAAGCGTGGGGAGAGTGGACATCCTTGCCTTGTTCCTAGTCCTGGGGGTCAGGCATTCTATCTTTCACCACTGAGCGTAAAGGCCATCTGTGGGTTTGTTGTGGATGCCACTTGCACTTTCCTGGGATGGGTGCGAATGAGACCGTTGGACTTTTTGTGGTGTTTGGCTGAAATAGAGTAGTTATTATCTGCAAGTGTTCTGTCTTATTTGTGGGGCATTTTCTGCTTGTGCCTATTGGCACTTCTGGGTTGCTATTTTCCTCAGTTCTAAGTCTGGGCTGTGAAGCAAAAAGGAAATGCAGGAAGCCCACCACTGTGTTGTTCCTTGGGTCCTGAGATTCCTAACTGGTCTGCCTTCTTCACTCTGCCACTCAAAGTCTTCTTATGTGTGTTTTGCATATAACATCCGCGGGTTTTAGTTGCACTTAGCAGGTGGAATCTGGAAGAGTGTGTCTGCTCCATCTTCCTGGGAGCGGAAGCGGTTGGGAGTGTGAGAGCAGGTAGGTGGGGGCAGTTTAGAGACCCAAGGTTGGTTCTACAGGTGCAGAAGGGCTGTTGGGGCCCAGCCCTGACAGCAGTATGGAGCGGTGTGGGCGGGTGGGGGCTGTGGCAGCCCAGCAGGCTGCTGCCCGTGTCCAGGCAGGAGATACTGAGGTCAGGACCTGCGCTGTAACGGTAGATGTAGGGCAGAGAGGAAGAAGAGGGAAGTACGCACGGGCAGTGAGGAAGTTCGAGGTTTCTAGCTTGGGCGACTAGCTCTGAGATTAGGAAGGCAGAGGGAGGTGTCTGAGTGCAACAGAGGCTGTATTCCAGGCATTGTAGAGCATGCCTGGAAGACTGGACTAACGGTACTTCCCTTCAGAGAAGGCTTCGCAGAGGAAGTCAGGCTGCTGTGCAAAAATCCGGGGAGCGTGCGTTCTGGGCAGAGGAAACAGTGTGGGGAAAGGCACAGGTACAGGCAGCGGCGCCATAGGCCTGTGGGACTCCAGCAGGCTGGGGCTAAGTGGGTGGTTACTGGCTCCGAAACTGAAAGGATGCTGCAGGAGCACACGAAGGGAAGAGCTTCTGGAATGGAAATGGGTGCTGCCTGTGGTCTGGCTGACTCCTTACCTTCCGTTATTCCTGCTGGCATCAGTCTTCCCTACTGCAGACAGGCTGCCTCCCCATGGGGCACAGCTGCTGACAGCCTCAGGGTATAGTCTGGGGTGGGGGTGGGAGCAGTTCCTTTCTCTGCATCTGTGTATTGGTTCTAGAGAAAGGCTCTGATTGGCCCAGGTTGGGTGATGTGCGTGTCTTCTGGACCAATCACTGTTGCCAGGGACTGGTGTTCTCTAATCTGGGCTGGATTGTATACCCACCCCTACTGGGGCAAGCAGAATCTTTTTAAGAAGGCAGAAGAAATGCATCTGTTGAGGAAGATAAAAAAGACTGTTTACCATGGCTTACTGTGATAGGTTTTGAAGAATGCATAGTATACCAATGAAGAAACTCTGTAGAGTTTCAAGCAGGGGACTTGATCAAAGTTAGGTTTTATTAAAATCATTCCAAACACTGCGTGGGGTTGTGGTTGGAAATAAGTGACTGGAGGTGGCACAACTGGAGCTGGAGTCCTGAGTGCCTGTGTTTGTGCTTCACCTCCAGCCACAGCATCGGTGAGGTGGAGGCAGGGAGAAGAGGGGCTGACGGAGGACTCCCCCACAACCAAGGAGGTAGTGATAAGTCTCTGGAAGGCTAGCCTTATCTTTGGAAACTAGTTACTAAGTGGCGGCAGACTAGACGTGCCCTCTTGCTTCGGGAGAAATGTGAGTGTTCTTGGCTTCTCATGGTACCCTAACTGGAAAAGGAAGCTGATTGGTCGCATTTCCCTCTCTTTAAAAAACACCCTTGTTTGAGAAATCATAATAGGCATAGGCAGTATGGCCAGGAGAGACGGGTGGAGAGGAGGGCACAGAACCCCAGCCTGTGGGTCTGCATCAGGAGCTTTTGTCCCTTTGGCATTGTCCTTGCTGTCGGGCCTTGAAGGGATCTGAGGAAAGGGTGACATGATCTGGTTCACGTTGCACCACATTTCCTCCTCTGTTGGGAACAGACTACAGGTGAGGTAGGAGTGACTCCAGGAGTGGCAGCAGGGAAGCAGGGCACCAGTTGGGAGGCTGGCACAACAGTCTAGGATGGTTATGATGGAGGTGTTGAGAAATGGTCACATTCTGAATTCACTCTAAGGTGAAAACCAGTTTTGATGAGGCTTGGCTATGGAATGAAAGACAGAGAGAGGAGATGAGAATGACTCCAAATCTTTTGGCCTGGGCAGCTGGAAAATCATTGTCTTAAACGGCAGGGGGTGAGACTGTGGAAGGAGCAGGTCTGGGGAAGCTCAGGGGCTCGTGTTGGGCGTGTTAAGTTGGAGACACCCAGCATCCTTACACGGAGCTCCTGTCTACTTGACTTCTTACCTGACCTAGGCAGTTGGACGTGCTAGTCAGTTCAGAGGAGAGCCCAGGCTTGGAGAGAAACCTGGCCATCGTCAGCACAGAGGCGAGATCACCAAGAGAGTGACAGAGGAGAGAAGAGAGCGAGGACAGCCCTGGGGCGCTCTGCCATAAGAGTTGGGAAGATGAGGGGGAACAAGCAAAGGGAAGGAGCAGCGGTGTGGGGGGTGGGAGACCCAGAGAAGCTGCTGTCCTGGAAGCCGAGTGAAGGGAGGAGTCCAGGGCGACTGATTCACTGGTGTCAAAGCCGCAGGACATGGAGGACAGGCCAGATGCACACTGTTGGACCTGAGCTTCATCTTGCAAATAAGTCGCAGTTCCTGACCTAAAGGGGAATGCAATTGTGCAAAAAAGGATCATTTGAGACTGATTGGAATAAATCTGAGAAAAGTGTGAAGTTAAGTACCATGGGAGTCCAGGAGAAGGGGACAGTACTTCTCGCTTTTGCAGGGAGGATTGAGTGACATTGATTCATGTCTTCATTCATTTATTTATTCATTCTACAAAAACTTACTGGGTGCCAGGGACTGGAGGAAGGGGGGAGGCAGAGTTATTGTTTAATGGGTATAGAGTTTCAGTTTTGCAGAAAAGAAGAGTTCTGGAGGTAGATGTTGGTAATGGTTGCACAACAGTATGAATGTACTCAATATTACTGAACCATACACTTAAAGTGGTTAAGATTGTAGCTTTTATGTTACATGTATTTTACTACAATTTTAAAAAGTGGAGAGGAAAAAAATAATACTTATTGTGGCCTCACTGTGAACTTGATCTGGGATGATGGGTGACATTTGGGTAGATAATGTGAAGACATCCCACCAAGAGGGCAGTGCATCCTTGGGGTCTGGCTGGCTGGATGGAAGGGTCCATGTGGGAACCACCAGGCTGTGGCTGCAGAAGCAGGCTGGGCCAGTTGGTGCAGGCCTGGCATCGTGGCTGCAGAGTTGGGCTTGCCTTCCTAGATACTGGGAGCCTCTGGAGGTTTCTGCCCAAGGGAGTGTCATTCAAAGGGGTGCATTTAGATTAATCTCATTAATCCTTCCTGTTAAACCATTGCCTATTAAAAGCAATAGGATCCAGGTATGCATTTCTATGTGACAATTGTGGCCTAGCAGAATTTTAGATACCCAGGTGTATGTTAATGAATTAAGTAGGTTGTTTTTCTATCCATTTTACAAATATTTGTTGAGAACCATCTAAATTCCCATCATGTTCTAGGCAGTAGGGGTAAGAGGCGGAGTGATTTAACAGGTCTTTTCTCTTGAAAAGCCCGAAGTCTAGAGAGCCACCCCCTGACCCTGTAAACAAGAAATTATGCCATGATGTGCCATGTGTTACCATAGACATGTCGCCCCAGAGTTCCATGGGAGCTGAGAGGAGGGGCCACCTGGCCTGCCTGGGACACTGAGGAGGCTTCCAGGGAAAGGTTATCCAATGGATGTGAAGGAGAAGCAGGGATTTTCTAGGCAAAGAAGCAGAGATGGATATCCAGGAGGATGGTAAATCAAAAGTTATTGGGTGTTATGAGTTTAAAGAAAATGTATAGATATTCTCTTTTAAAGCTAAACTCTTATTTCCTTGGCTTTTAGGTGCTGCTGGCTAGAGTGCATGCTTTTGGACCCCAGCCTAACTTTTCAAATGTGGACTCCTAGGCCTTCATTGGTAAGTTTGTTTGATGCCTTCTTACCCAATTATGCTGGCGAGGATTGGTATTTGCAATGAAGGGCAAGGTGGTTTTCACTGGCAGGTGTTCTGTGCAAGCACCCAGGCCTGGACCCGAGAGAAGCCTGTGGTACAGGCAGGAGAAGGGAGACCTCCCCGCGGGTGTCTGTGGTGGATGCAGAGAGGGAGGCCAGGGGAGGAGAAGCCAGCAGCGCAGGGGTGGCTGTGGCTGGGCTCACGGAGAGGTGGAGCTTTGCCTGTGTTTTGAAGGAAAAGGTAGATTGGAAAAAGTCCAGGGAAGAGTAAAATAAGATGTTCAGGGCTTGAGAACATGGATATAAATAAAGTGTTTAAAAAGTGGGCTCAGCAACCGATTGACAGGAGCAAAAGCTTCATCCAGAAGAGTCATGGGCAAAAACTTTGGCAGGGTCTGCTGGTGTCCAGAGTCAGCAAACTTCTTCTGTAAAGGACCAGATCCTAAAGATTTTTGGCTTCGTAGGCCATGTGGCCTCTTCACAGCTATGCCACTCTGCTGTGGTAACATGGAGCAGCCATGGATGATGTGGGAATGAATGTGTGTGACTGTGTTCCAGGCAGCTTTATTTACAGAAGCAGGTGGTGGGCTGGATTGGCCTGTGGGCTGTGCTTTGCCAACTCCTCTTCTAGACCCTGCATGCTGGGCTAAGGCACTTAGACTTTAGCCTGAAGGCAGTGGGAAGCCATTGAAGTTATTTTGGGCAAAGGAGTGAAGTGGCACAAGTGATGTTTACATTTTAGGACAGAGGCATGGGCCTTGTTAGAAGGCAGCAGCAGCCACCCTGGCATGGGGTTGTGTGGCTAATAGTAGTTACAATGGAAGCAGAGACCAATAGAGATATTACACAGGGAGAACCAAGAGGATTTCCAGTCTTCTTAGACTTCAGAGACAGTCAAAGAAGGTGAAAGTCCACAATGGTGCCCCTTGACAGGAATGTGAATGTTGGGGTGGAAGGAGGTAGTTGCTACATCTGGTTTTAGATATGGTGAATTTGAGCTGACAGTGTCTCATCCCCAAGAAATCTCCAACAGATAGTCGGAAATGCAGGGCTAAAGCCTGGGCTGAGAAGATAAAGTCTGGAGATGCAGAGTGAAAGCCTTAGGTTAAGTAAGTCATTCTAAGGTGAACAGAGGGCTGAGCCTTAGGGCATGTGCATAACTTTGGGGTGGGAGGAAGAAGGTGCTAGAGCCCCTGAGGCCATGAGGACAGAGTTCCAAGAAGGGAAGAGGGTGGGACAGCAGAGACCAGGGAGAAGGGCCCTGAAGGAAGGCTGCTGAGTTTGTGACAAGGTCTTTACAGATGACCTCAAGGAATGTAATGCCATGAGAGGGGAAGGGAAGAGGAAGCCAGGTTGCATAGGGTCTGACATAAATAAGGGATAAAGAATGGAGATGTTACTAAAATAGACCACTGGTAGAGAGTTTGGAGTGAAAGAAGGGAGACACAAAAGATTTAGGTATTTGCATGTCAGAATAACCTTTTCTTTGGCTTTGAGGTAGGCAAAGCATGCTGAGACCAGTTCTCATTTCCTCCTTTGGGGCCAAGCTGTGTTTGGGAGTTTGTGTGTACATTGGGCTTGTGATTGTGGACTTAGGCTCCCTTTGAGGTGTGGTGTTCATAACTCTGTCACAACCTGCACCACGCCATCCAGCCCGTGTTTGGACTTTTGCCATGGGACAAGATGTGATCTGTTGGGGAAATAGTTGCATTTGTATAAATTGGAGAATGGAGTGGCCCAAACATTGAAATAAAACTTATTACTGCAGAGTCTGTACAAGTATGGGGAATTTGAGACAATTCCTCAAGTCCTTCAACTATATACCAACTTATGCTCTGAGTGTTTTGAGTGTACCTTCTTTGGTTTGAATTCTAAGTAGTTTTTTTTTTTTTTTTTACTTGGTTTGTGTGAATATAGCGGTGTTAGAGATCTAGTAATGAAAGCAACAGGTATAACTGGTTTAGAGCCATGATTTATTGAACACTCATTATCTTAGCAAGTACAGTGCTAGGTACTCTTTATGCATCATCTCATTTCATCTTTGCAGAGACCTGAGGTGGGGGAATTGGTATTCACATTTCAGCCATAGGAAGTCAAGTCATAAAGAGGTTGAATAACCCACCCAAGGTAAAGGGTTTTGAACCCAAGCCGGTATGACCTCTGGTCTGTGCTGCTCCCTGTTCCTCTCACCTAAGTCTGGACTGGAGATAGATTGAGCCCTTCAGGTTAACTATTCAGAGCCTATAGTACATATTCCACACCTTAGCAATCTATTAAAAGGGTGGAAGAAGTGTGGGAAGTCTGGAAGAGACTGAGACCAAACCTCAAACACTTATTTCAACGGTTTCTCCGGGTAAAATTTAGCTGGAGAAGCCTTGGGCTTGGAAAGGAAATATCACTTCAAGGCATACAAGTCAGATTCCAGTCCTAGCACTGTGACAATTATAATGTCACTCTTGTTTAAACACTTGGCATTTCTCTCCACTCACCTCCGACTCCAAGCTCCAAAGGCGGGGTCCTGTTCTGTCTCGTTTATCACCCTATCCCCAGCATCTAGCACAGAATCAGGCTTGTAGTGTGTTATGTGCTCACTAATTATTTGTTGCTTCTGATGAATCCGGGGACTCTGTGTGCCTGACATGCTCTTGGCATCGCGGTTACAGAGGTGAGCCACCACAAGGTCTCTGTTGTCTTGAGGCAGATATTCTACATGTGTGACACGCAGAATGTGATGTCAGGCATGATCATGCTCTGAAAGAAAATAGCATAAGATCAGGGTGCAGAGGATTTGGCTGACAGATTAGTTAGGGTGGTCAGGAAAGGCCTCTCCAAGAAATGAAGTGAGACAGTGAGCCTGTTGGGGGAAAATCCATAAAAATCCTCTTGTGGTGACCACAGACCTTCAGCTGAGCCGTCAGCGCCTCGTTTTAATTGTATCATGTGGCCGCCATTGCCGACGCCCAGCCGCTGCCCGTCCAGCAAGGGCCCCTCTTTGGGCCTCCCCATGCCTGACGCTGGGCATCCACGCCCAGGCTCGGCCTCTCCTGGCCTGCGGGCCTGGTTCACCTCCAGCCTCTCAGACCCTGGCCTCCACAGCCTGCTCCGCCGGTTCTCTCTCCTTTGTCCTCAGCTTCAGGTTTGGCTTGGTCCCTTTCCTGCCATCCCTAGTGTTCTCCCTGGGTGAGCCCATCCACCTCTCACCTCTGCCTACAGACTCCCAGATCTCCAAATCCAGCCAGCCTCCTCCCAGCCCACGCTCCTAGCGGCCTGCCCCGGGACGCCCCGGAGTCCTCAGTCTCCTCTGAGAGCCACACGCATCTTTTCCCTGTGCTGCCTGTCTTGGTCTAGCCCCTCAGTTGTCTCTGCTTTAGGACTCATCCTGGGATTCCCCCATCCCTCAAATGTCATATTCCATCGTTACCATGTCCTGAAGAGCCTGTCTTCTATAATAATTTGCCAACACAGTCCTTTCTCCTCTCTCTCCACTCCTTTATTTAGGACTCATCATTTGGAATTTTATCACAACAGCCTGTTAATTGGTCATTTGTGTCCATCTTCTTCCTTCCTCATTCCACCCCGCACACTCCTATCAATAAGATGTTTCCAACACACACGTCTGTTCATAGCTTCTTTCTGCTTCAAACGCTCCAAGAGCTCCTCATTGCTTAGATAATAAAAGCTAAGCCCCTTCAGGAAGCCTGCAGTCTTCTCATCATCTGGCCCTTGGCCACCTTCCATATTTTCCTTTTTCCCTAACCCACATTTCTGACCTCAGCCTTTCACCAACAGTCACCTCTTGGTGCCTTTATCAGTGTGGAGCCCTCTCCTGGGAATGACCTGGCCCCTCCTCCCCATCTGGGAACTTAGCTCCAGTTCCCCATGGCTGTTTTGGATACCATCCTTCCCCACCCTGCACTCTTCCATGACCTGGAGGTGACCTTCCTCCTGGTTTTCAGAACACCCTGCATGTCTCTATCTTGCAAAGCACTTATCAGTGTAACTATGGATTTACTTATCTGTTATGCTCGGTAAACTGAGCTCCTTAAGGGTGGGGACCACACACACACACACACACACACACACACACACACACACAATCTCTGCTCCCCCTGCCAGCACAACCCACCTGGCTCAGGAAGTGTTTGTTGAAAGAGTGAGGGTAGCAAAGTCTGTTTGTGCAGCCAAACAACAGATTTATGACGTGATCATATGTGCTTGAAATTGGAGGTTCCCTGGCTGGTGAGTTTGTTGGGGCCGCCCTCGTCTCAGCTTGGCATGCAGGAGAGGTTGTGTTGGGCTTGTGTTTGTGACTGCTGTTGTGTCTCCCAGCATGCTGAGACATCTATCTCTTCTCCGCATTGTTTGCCCCTATTTATTTTATTTTATTTTTTTAGCTCTTGTTGATGATGTAATAATAGCAATTCAAAATGAAAAATAATCCATTAAGGAATTCTTAGGAATGAGATCTACCCCGCCCGGGCCTGGATGAATCCCAGCTTTCTTAAATTAGCCAAAATATTGATTCTTGCCAACCACTATCTGACAGCCTTTCCCCCTCAGTCCGGCTGAGGAGCTTTCCTGGCAGGAGGACGAGGATACCTAGTGGTCCTTTGTGGAGGTTCCCAAGGGCATCTTCGTCTTCACTGGGAACCTCAGTGAACACGGAGGAGTTGTGCAAATAGGAAGAGGCTCTGACCTCTTCCTGTGTTTCCCATGGGAGCTAGCACTATGCACCCATTGGCAGCGAATAAATTCCTTTGTTTTCATTTGGGGCCTTCAGCTTGATGCTTGTCGTGTCATCCTTGCTTCCTAGTTCTGTCACAGAACTGGAAAGTTGTGCCAGGAATGAAGCTGTTATTTGGGTTTCACAGTAATCTGGGGAGGCTTCCTGGAAGAGAGCCCTTCTCAGCACAGGGCATCCTGCTGGCCAGGGTGCTCCAGCCTGCTGACCGGGCTCTCCTTGCCTGGACATGCATGAGAGCAGGGACTTACCCTCCGCTGTCCCCTCCGCATGGAGTGCACCTCCTCTGGTTGGCCTAGTCCATACCTGTTCACCCCTAGATCTTAGCTGATTCACCTGCCTCTTTCTCGGAAGACTTCTCTGACCTCCCTGATAAGAAGGTTAGGTCTCATGCCACCATTCTTATCAGCGCCCTTGTCATAACCTGCTGCTTAGTGACTGCTCACCGTGACTCAGCGTGGTGGGTGACTGCTCTGTGTTAGGGCTGGGGTAAGTGTTGTCATGTTATCCCAAAGGCACCATGTGAGGAAGCCCTGACCGATGACACACGTGTCAGAGCAGGGGTTTGTCCCAGGTGCTGGACTGCGGGCTTGTGCTCTGGCCCTTCTTCCACACTGCACAGGTCCTTCTGCTGCACGGCCCACCAGCCCATCCTGCTCATCTGCAGCACTTGTCACAGAGTGCACTTGACAGTTGTTTATGTGGTTATTTGATGAATGAATGTTTGTTCCCCCACCGGGCAGGCCCCTGAAGGCTCCAGCATAGCAGGAGTACCTAGGTGCTCAACGTGGAGTTGACCGACAGCCTACAGCACTGCACGCTCACCCATAGCTCTCCTTGTCCCTTGCGTCACAAGAAACTGGGCCATGAGCATAGACGAGCCAGCCCAGGACCCCACTCTTTGGAGCTTACTGGCCGTGTGCATGGGTCTGGCCTTCACCCTCACCTCCCGGTTTCTGCGTCAGCCACTGGTGCTGAGGAAGCATCCGTGCGTTGGCAAGGTCTGTTCCTTCTGCCCACTCCCTTTTCCCTTTTGTCCCCTGGCAGCCCACTTGTAAGGAAGGGGACCCCTTTCACCTCCCAGAGCTGGGCCAGCTGCCCTTCCCCTGGCTCCCTGGGCCTGCACACAGTCTGAGGGTGACTGACTGTAGCAGGTCGTGTGTGCCCTGGCCTGTGGACTCTGTGGCAGGGCAGCAGCTTGTACAGTCGGAGCCAGGGCTCTAGAGAAGGGGCGAGGGAGAACCTGAAGTTGTTACCTTAGGAGCAGCTGTTCCCTGATGCAGTTTGTGTGTGTGTGTGTGTGTGTGTGTGTGTGTGTGTGTTCTCTTGCATGATGTTTGTACTTGCACCATTTATCCCCCTGCTATAGCCCCCTCTTCCCAGGATCTAATGTGGGCCTTTGCGCAGCACTATGTCACAGCTCTTGGCTAAATACGTATTTCCTCCCTTCCTGATCTGAAGGTGCCATCCCTTTTCCCCACCCCCACTTTGGTACCTCGACACCCACTTCACAGGGTTGCTGTGACTCTCAGGACCCTCTTCCCCGTGCTCCCTCTGAACAAACGCAGTGTTGTGAAAACCCTACCTAGACTCGCCAGTGGGAGGGAGCCGGGCAGCAGGGGAAGCCCAGTTGCCCAGGGCACCTCACCAGGCCTCCAGGGCCTTCTAAGGCCAGGCTGGCTGAGCTCCAGGTGACTCACGCTGTTTCTGATTGGGAAAAATAAAACATGTAAAATGGCTTCTGACCAAGTGGGGCAAGTGGACTTGGGAGGAGGAGAGGGGCGTCAGCCGGGCCCTAGGCGCCTTTGCCAGCAGCAGACCGAGGTGGGCTTACAGCACAGGTGGCATTCAAGACGCCTCTTTCAGAGGGTCCTTGGCACACTGGTCTCAGGATCTGGAGCAGACCTGCCTCAGAGGGCAGCCCCATGTCTGTCTAGCCATGTGACCTAAGACAAACCCACCAAGCGCTGTAAGCCTCAGTGTATCATCTGTAAAATGAGATTGTGATCATTTGAATCACTGGGTTCTTGTGTGGGTGAAATGAAAATGTGCTTAGTGTGTTTGTGCAGAAAACACCAAATAACGATTATCTGTTATCGTTGTTGTTGTTTTTAAAAGTATTCTCGTTAATAATATTATAAGAAGACTTTGGACAGATGCACAGTTAAAGGCTGTGATGAGTAAGTGAGATAGTGGAAATAGTGTTTAAGAAAAGTACTTTGTGAGTTGCAAATTAGGTCCAGATATTATTATTGGCGCACGTATATCTGTTGTCGTTTTGTCATTGAAAAAAAGACTGAGCACAATTTCATGATGTTGAGTCTAAGTTCTTTGTTGTTTTTGTTTTTGTTTTAGGGCAAGGTTTGTCAGATAGGCCTTTATTGGAATCTTGCCCAGTGGTTGTGTGATCCACATTGGTGATCCCAGGTGTCAAATGCCTGGATAATATCTGGCATAGAGGAGCATTTCAGTGGTTGCCATTATTTTATTTATTGTTATTTTTACTTTTTTTTTTTAAAGATAGATTCTGGCTCTGTTTCCCAGGCTGCAGTGCAGCCGTGTGATTATAGCTCACTGCAGCCTCGAACTTGTGGGATTGGGCGATCCTCCTGTCTCAGCCTCCAGAGTAGCTAGGACTGTAGGTATATGCCACCATCTGCGTATGGCTAATTTTTAAAACATTTTTTATAGAGATGGGGGATCTCACTATGTTGCCCAGACTGGTCTTGAACTTCTGGCCTTAAGTGATCCTCCCACCTTGGCCTCCCAAAGCACTGGGATTACAGGGTTGCTATTATTTAAAATTTTTATGGTAAACATGTAATACATAGTAGGAAATTCTTACAGGTTCATTGACAGTTGTTTGTGGGAATGCTTTAATTTGTTCTCTACTCTGGATCTGAGAAATTCTCAGAGTTTTGTGCCTAGTATATAAATGTAAGCACTTTCTTCAGAATTTGATATAGAAAGCTACCATTGTCTTCATAAGTATGTTAGAAATGTTTTATTAATAACAACTGCTTGACTCTTTTGCTTCTTATCTCCATTTCGTAGCATTTCCCTGACTCTTCCCATGTTTCTGAAAATAAAATTGAACAAAATTAGCCATTTAAAAAAATGTAGATGCTTTCAGGCAGAGGTTGAAAACTCTCTACTCACTGGCTGCATCTGGCCTACAGATGCATTTTGTTCAGCACTCACAGTGTTTTAAAACATTTCAATTAGTGGCTAAGGTTTAAAAATTGGTAGATTTTATATTTAAATCTATATTTCCAGCTCTTTGTGAAAAATGGAATGTCTGGCAGCACCGGGCACATCTTCCTTGTGGCAGTGCCGAAGAGTGGCGGTGCCTCTCCCACGAGCTTGTTTCTCCAGTCTGTCCCCGGCCCACCCAGCCTCTGTGCATTAATATTTTTCCATGGCCTGCTTAGCCCCTGTAGGTAGTTGAGTTTGTAGCCCCTGCTAAACATAACTAACACCCCTTAGATACTGGGCATCAATTTAGAATTATTTTCTCTACCAACTTTGGCCAGAGCTAGGAAGGATATTTTACTTGCTAGGTTATCATTCTTACGATAACCCAAGTGGCTATAGTATTTTAGGCTCTTCTGGATTCAGTAGGGTTATCTTCTCTCCTTGTGAGATTTCCTTGTTAGCAATTCTTTAAAAGTCTTCGTCAAGGCTTATGCATCAACTTAAAATGTTAGGTAATGCAGGATATAAATTTTGATAACCACTATTTAAGGAGAGGTTGCAAACATGTGAACATCTTTAATTCAATAATTTATGGTGTTGTAAATTTGAAAATGTAATGACAGTCTTTTTTTTTTTTTTTATTAGCCTTCTCATTAAAATAATTGTAATTTGGCGTAATCTTTGTTGAAATAGGCAAAGGGTTTGAGATTCTCAGTACTTGAGACCACTGCCTTTGGCAGGCTTTCCTTGGCTGGGCCCTCGCCCGCTTCCAGCAGTGAGCAGGGGGCCACGTGCAGAGGGTGGAGAGGGCATTCGGCATCTGATGGTGGTCGCTCTACGGGGGTCCTTGCAAACACTGAAGTTCTAAAAAAATTATTATTATTCTATGAGCTTTTGAAAACTGCTTTCTGTTTTTGTCATCGTGAAAGTAGTGCGCACTTGTAATAAATTCAAACAACACTGATTTTCATTATGTAAGCAAGAAAGTCTTCTGTGACCCCCTCCCCCACTTCCAGCCATTCCCCAGAGATAACCACGTTCGAGTTTGTTGCTTATACTCTTGGACTTTTGCATTTGCTTGTGTTCCCCGGCCCCTGCCCTTTGCCCTCACCCCCATGTACAGTTTCACTTTTGTTTTGTGAAGATGGATTCTCTCTCTGTATAATGTTCTGCAACTCTCTTTTCATAGCTGTCAATTATTGTGGTTATCTTTCCAAGTCAGTATGTGCAGATAAATGTACCTTATTATTTTTAACAGTTGAATTCCATTTGATGGATGTATTTTAAGTTTGCTTAATCATTCCTGTATTGGTAGGCACTCAGGTTGTTCCTGATCTTTTGCCATTGCGGCCATCGGTGCTGTGGAAATTGTTGTGCATGCCTGTGAACTTCTGCATGAGATTTCCTTTGATATAGATACCTACAAGTGCGACTTTTGAATCAGTATTGCCAAATTGCCCTCGAAAAAGGCTGTACCAGTTCATGCTCCTTCCAGCATCCCATTATGGCTCTGATAATCTAGTTTTTGCTTAAACATGTATAAGAAAAGTAAATTTTGAAAGATCATAAATATGCCATCAAATGACATGTTTGAGGCCAGGTGCGGTGGCTCACTCCTGTAATCCTAGCATTCTGGGAAGTCGAGGTGGGAGGATCGCTTGAGCTCAGGAGTTCGAGACCAGCCCGAGCAAGAGTGAGCCTCTGTCTCTACAAAAAATAAATACTTACTTAATTAGTTAAAAAAATTTTTTTTAAATGACATCACAGAAAAGCATTCAAAATATATTTATATATTTAATTGAATGATTTTCATATCTTGACTCTGGTGATGTTTATAATCATCTTGCAAGATGACAAAAGTGTTCCCTAAATATTGTAACCAACTATTAAATAATTAATGAGGATATCAGTTGTGCCAGGTAGCCTTGGGAAAAATAACAGCACCCATTTCCACAGCTACATCAGGGCTGGCTTGTCTTCCCCAGCAAGGGCTGAGCCGCCAGTACTGAGGCTGGGCGAGCGTTTGAAGAAGCTAGGCTGGGGACGCCAGGCCTTAGACCCGAGAGACCTGAGGAAGGGAGATGCGGCAAGTGACCGCTGTGAGGCTGAGACAAAGTTTTAGCCTACAACACACCATGGGAGTTTCCTTTACTGAGCTGTGGGATGAGGAAAACTAAGAGAGGTGACATTCCCAGGCTTCCTGTGGTCACTTTCCTTCACAGCTTTCCCCTAGGGGTGCTAACATTTAGGCTCTTGTTCTCAGGTTTCCTTAGCATTTGGGAAGGATTTGCAGATTTGCTCAGCCAGAGGCCTTAACTGATTACAGGTGGCTGAGCACTCTTGGTCCAGCTGTATCTATCTCCTTCTCTTTAGAAAGGATGAGTCTGGGAGATGGTTAGCTTGAAAGTTTGAATCCCACCTTCTCCAGAGGTCCCTTCTCTGGCTGTCTAAGCAGGTGACTGGCTTTTGCTAGTAGCCACAGCTCCTTAACAACCAACCTCACTAATGAGGCCGAGTAGATTTGATGCCTAGACCATTCATCCTTCCAGAATGCCCTCAGCTTCATTAGACCCATGCCAGGCAGTCTGGTCTAGTGGAAAGAGGGATTTGGAGTCAGATAGACCTGGGTTCAAATGCTGGCACCATCACTTGTGCTAGCAGCATGACCCTTGGCTGGTGGCTCACCTCTCTGAGCCTCAGTGTCCACTTTTACAAAACAAGGATAGCAGCTCTCTCTTAAGGGCATTTTGAGGAATACATGAATTAATATTTGAAAGGCGCCTCTCAGATGTTCAGCACAGAATGACCACTCCATAAACGTGAGTCCTCTCTCATCCCCCTGCTGTGGAGAGAAAGTTCTCCTCTGGGGTTGCTCCAAGCTGGTGGCTACTAGCTGGGGATCCTGGGGTAAGAGAGAGGCTACCATGTGAACCCAGAGATGAATCATATACAGCGTGTAAACTCAGGAGCTCACTATTTGGTTGGGGAGCCCAACAAGCAAACAATGTATCCAAAAATTGGAATTGATCAATAGAGGAAAGATTAATTAATCCTTCCAGGTAGAGTGGGGTGGAAGAGGTCATCAAGCAAGTAGGATTTTGAGGGTTGAATAGGAGTTTGACAGAGAAGTACATAAACAATTAATAGGAAGCTTCTATCCATGAGAGATAGTTATATTGTTTTTTTTAATGTATATGTGTTAACTTCTTTTGACTACTGCAAATACACTGATATATTCAAATTTAACTACTCTCTTTTCTCTTTCCTCTCACTTTCTCTCCCTTCTCCCACCCTGCCTTAAAACACTCAGCCACTGAAAATATCTTAAAGAATTTCTTTATGCTTTAGTAAGTCCTCAGAGGATGCTATTTCATCCTACTAAGATTTTACAAGGCTTTGGCATAGCTATTTCTTTTTTCATTCCTTTTTCTACAGTAGGTTTAAGGATTTTCTTTTGCTTGCTAAGGAATGGACAAACTACCAACTGTTTGATGTTTATGCATGACTCCTGTGCACCAGGGACATGTGCCACCCTACTTGGCTCTCAGAACATCAGAACAGCTTTGTGAAATGGGCTGTTCATTCTTTTTTGTGGATGAGGAAACTGAGGCTTAGAAAGGTTAAGATACTGAATCAAGTTGTGAGTGGGAGAGCCACAGTTCAATTCCAGGGTTCTTTTCTCTGTGTTTGCTGCGTTGCTCAGGGTGGGCAGCAAAACTTTCTCTGAATGCATGAGAGAGCCGCCGGCCACGCACCAGCCAGTTTGATTCATGCTGCTGGTCCTGTAAGGCACTTGGTGCAGGACGGCTGCTCCGTCACCTTGCTGCCTATCAGTGCGGCCCCGGAGCCAGGCAGCAGTAATCATGGACAAAAAATACAATTTCTCTTTCTTCTCAACCTTCATTTCTAAGGTACTGTAAGCAGATAGGTTAGACAGTTGAAATTTTAGTTTTTGCTTTGTCTCTACCCTTTAATGAATATGTGAGAGAGCACAGGCACAGGGCTCCAAGAGCCCAGCCTGGAAGTAGACAACTCAGATTCTAGCTTCAGTTCTGCTGGTAACAGGAGTAACTACGGGTAGATAATAACATCCTTTCTCCAGAACTACATGTCTTGTTGCAACATGGAGCTCGTTGGTCCTAAGGATGCTGCCTGCTACATGACCCCGTATCCCAGAGTGAGGCTCTGGCGTGTGCTGGAAGGAACACAAGCGTTGGTGTCAGGCAGACCTGAGTGTGAATCCCGGCTCCTGTACTTCCTAGCTCTGTGGTCTTGGGCACATCACCTGACCTCCCTGATGCTGATCCTTGTCTGTGAAGAACAAAGGGACAATAGGACTTGCTTCCCAGGATCACTCTTAGGATTAAATGAGAAGGAATGTTGGCTTCTTTCCCTCTGCCTCCGAGTGCATCCGTTTGGGACTAACTTAGGTGTTCCTGCAGTTGAAACCTGAAACACCTTCATTGCAGTGTTCATGACACCTTGCAACACCCTGCAATACGCAGCTCTTAGTTTTCCCGAAGCTCGTTTTTGTTGTTAAGAAACTCCTCAAGGGAAGATACCATTCTACCCCATTGAGCTTTATTAGTGCTTCAGTGGCAGTGTCTTATTTTAACCCCTTTTTCCCCTTGCAGACAGCAGCTCCAGTGTGAGTCAGTTTGCACGTATGTAATTTCTTTTTCACCTCCTTGCAGAGAGGAAAACTCCATTCATTTAGCAAATATTCGCATGCCCGGGTCTTACGTTAGGTGACGGGGTGCAGAGAGGCATATAGACAGGGGCTCACAGGGGGAAAGGTGCAGATAGATAAGGTGGCGTGTGGATTTGTGCCATCGCCAAGGAGAGGGGAGGACGACAGTGGCTCTCTCTGGGGGAGTCAGGGAG